TCCACAAAGTACTTCTCCAGGGGCAGGTCCTTGTTCTCCGGGGGCTCGAAAGGGTCGTGTTTGTTTCCAACACCATATTCACCTGGGGGTGGGGGGACAGTGACACAGAAATGAAGGCCCCAAGGTCACCGTGAGAAGGCAGGACTGGGGAGCAGGCAGGCCCTCCATGACCTGAAACGGGACACGTGATAAAACAGCTGGTCACCTTCGATGGCGAGCAGGCCCCCTCCAGGGCCTTTTCTCACAGAGGATGGGTGACCCCAAAGCAAGATCCAACCAGGCCACGGCCATGGCCACGGCCACCCCTCCCTGGGTAACAGGGGAGATGGTGAAGGAAGAGGAATGGGGGAAGTGTTGGGGGCCAGGGAGGCTGGGAGACCAAGGACACTGGGAGGAGGGGTGTGGCCCACACACAGGGTCAAGTTCAATTTTAAGGAACTCAACCTGATCCCTCCCCTCTGTTCTCTCTCACCCACCTCAGGGGGAGGGGGAAGTGCATCGCTGCACCACGCACACCCACAGGACCTTCCCAAGGCAGGAGGCCACCCCTCCCTCCGTCAGGTCACCCCTCTCCACGCCAGGCCACCACTGGCTAACTGCCTTCCTCAATCACATCAGCCCATCTCGCCCTACGAGCCAGCTCCTCGGCTACTTGGCTGGTCCCAGTTTTTCTAACACACAAACCATTCCCAAACCACCATGGGATGTTCAGGTGCTCCCCGCACTGACCTGCGCGTCACCCGGGGAAGGAGCATGGCACTTCCACAACACTGAGCTAATGACACCATCCATGTCCATTTCTGGGTGAAGTCAACACACTCCTCACACGCTGACTGCTTCCAATGTCACCTCCAGCCTTCTCTGGGGGGCATTCCCGAGGCTCAGTAGCAGTCAGTTGTGGGGACAAGTGTCATCTGGCCTTGGCTAGCCTGTGCTCTTAATGCTGGGCCACGTAGGTGGGGCAGTGGGAGCCGCATCTACTCTTGCAAAGGATCGAGGGCTTGCCCCCGCCACGTGGGTCCCCCCTTGTGGCAGCGTGGTGGCAACGCCCCAACACAAAGCTGGCAGAACTGGGGGAGCCACTGCTCGCCCCCATCTCCAGCCCGGCCCCCTTCAGCTGTAAAGTGGGGACATGACCGCGAGCCGCCTCCCGGGCGGGCGTCATAAACAGGCCCAGCCGCACCGGGGAAGCCAACCAAAGGGCACCAAGCCTCTCCAGCCAGGTGGAACCGCAGCCCCAGATGCACGACATTTAAGGACATGAGCCCTCCTGGTCACACCATTCAACTTTGCCGGTCCATTCAGCCATCCCAGAGCCCCGGGGAGGGCCTGGGGAGCCGTGGGAAACGAAGCGTTTTCTTAACAATCACCACGTGCAATTTTAAAAGTGTACTCCCCCTCCCCCCTTAGGCAGGAAAGATGTCCAAACCAGGTGGTTGGCAAGCAGAGGTGACAGGGTGATGACACGATCCAAGGCCACGATCAGGCCGGGGCAGGGCCTGCATGGACCCCGCCAGAATGGGGTGCTCGGCCGTCACCCCGCCCACACCTGCACTGCCCCTGGGAGCCACTTCCACACCCTACCTTTCCGCTCCAGGCCGTGGGAACCCGAGCACGGACAGTCCCAACCCCGCTGCAGAGGCACCTTCCTCGCGGGGCTGCTTTCCCACATCTTCACCCTCACAGCTGCAGGGCCGGCCTTGCCCACCGGGGACAGCCACCTGGAGGCTTTGTGATGACTTAGTTCACGTGTCAGCAGGCAGGGACTGGGGACCTTGTCTCCCTCCCCTGTTGAGAAATCAGCTGACAGTCGTATGGGTACTCCCTTGTAGATAACTGCCCTGTCCCCAGGGGCCCTGCAGGGTGATATCTCTGGCTCTTCCTGAAGTGTCATCAGGAACCCCCCATTCCTAAAGTTGGGGCTCACTGCCATCCCCCCCGCCCCCCGCACACACATAAACTCTAGTTGCTTTCCTCCCCATTTCGCACAAGGATCTCTTCCCAAACTAAGTGCCTCTACCCTTCCCCATCCTCTGGGCCTCTCAGGCAAAGAGCCCAGTTTCCCGCTGTCGCCCCGGCCTGAGAATAGCCCGCAGGACACCCTGACCGCCGAGGCATGCATGGCCGCCAGCTACGGGGCAGAGGCTCCGGGTCACATTCCTGCACACCGCCTGGGAGCTCCCGGGAGTCTCCCAACCACAGCCACAGGATCGCCCTCGAGGGCAGAGGAGATGTGCCGATAGCGGGGCAGGCCTCTCGCCCGCCTGCACTCTTACTGCTCTCGGCCACTTGGTGTAAAGCAGATGTGACTGTGGCCGTGTTGTTTGTGGTTTAACACTTATTTCATCCCTGCAGCCTGGTCATATGACTCAGCACATACATCCCATAATTTATCATTGTTATGCCATTGCATTATTTTGCAGCAGCATTGCCATGGCAACATTTACAAGTCGCCGTGGCAACAAAGCACCCTCACCACTGGTGAGCCATGCCCAGTGAGCCCGGCACAAGGTGGGAAGGCTGCCCGTGCCCGAAAGTCCCCCCTCTCCGGTAACCACAGCAGCCCCGGCAAAGGCTAAGCTTGTGAACACACCGTACGGGGAAGACACGGCGATCTCTGTTCCCAACTCAAAGCAGTTTCCAGCACTCGCAGGTGCCCGGCCAGAAGACAAGTTTCCTGAGCAAGAAGTTTTGTGGAGCCCTTTGGCTCCCGCCTCCTGCAGCTCCTGGGGCTGCCTTGGCCGAAGGGCTGGCAAAGGAGCTGTCACTTCACATTCACGGAGAGATGGACGCGTGCCTCCTGCCCTCCCCACCCCCAAAACGCCGCTGATGGCTCCTGTTCAGAAAAGTCCAAGGCTGAGGAGGCTCCTGACTCATCGGCTGAACTTCTAAACTAGAAACCTCACTCGGCCACCTCCCTCGCAGACCAAGAACGAGTGAGAATCCTGGCCATTGTGTTTTCAGGTTCATTCACCTTCCCCGAGCCGGCCCCTCCGTGCGGGCTGCACCCACCATCTTAGAAGCTTCTGGTGCCTCCAGAAGAGGAGGGAAGACTGTCTCGGGAGGGGCAAGGTGCCTGGAAGGCGCCCTGAACCCTCTTTGTGACCCCTGCCTGCTCCAGCCCACACGTGCTCAGAGCTCGGCTCTCAGCCACAGCGCTCTCATGAGAAGAGAACCAATGGGGGGGGGGGGGGGGGAGGAACAAGCCCACGTGGAGAAAGAAGGCCCATAAGGCCCATTCACGCGCAGCTGTATGAACCCAGCCCACTGTCCCCTATCTTTAAAACTGAGCCTCTCGCCTTCCCCAACCTTTTCCCTGCCCCCAGTGGCCATGGGTGGCTCACTCGGCCATGTCCTGGGGGCCCCACTGGCCTGGGCTTGGAGAAGCGTCAGGAAGGCCTTTCTGAATCACCCCGGGCTTGGCCCGCCTCCCCTCTGGCCGGGGTGAGGCCGCTGAGATGTGAGGGGCGTGCGCCACGTGGGTCTGGCCATGTCCCTGGAAAACCAAAGGGCAGGAAGACTGGAGGCTGGCTCATTCCCACTCCTTGCAGCCTCCCTCGCCATCCACCCAGAGGGCTTCTCCCTGGCAGGCGCTTTTCCTTCTTCAAAGAAGCACCTGCCCAGGAGCCGGCCTTGCCCACTTCCACCGGGTCTCCCCGGGGAACTTCCCGGAGAGCTGGCACCCAGGGGCCTCGGACGGGAAGGGTATGTGCCTGGTGTGGGCATGAGCCGCCAGGACCCTCCATTTCACCATGTCAAGCCCGTGAGGCCAAGGAACAAGGACACCTTCACTTCAGGTGCATCCAGAACCCCTGCTGCTCAGGGAAGGCCCCTGACGAGCAACAGCAGCGCCCTTGTCCTGGATGAACGCAGGACACACTGGTCCCGGTGTGACGTCCCCACATCCCTGGCCACAGGCTGCTGCTGACACCCACGGTGAGCGCTCCTGGGCCACAAATGCTCCCCAACTCCATCAAGTGTGCGGAGGAACGGCAAACCTCTGACATTTAAAGGCACAGGCTCCCAATCGCACCCATCATCCCGGACTGTCCTGTCTTGGGGGGGTGGGGGGCTTTTGCACCCGCTCTCTCAAAATGCCGTACTTCCCCATCACCAACGCATCGGGCAGAGAAGTCAGGTGAGCAACCCCCAAAGGCCACTGCAGCCATAGACCAGCTGGTGGACTGAGGAGTGGCTGGAGGAAAGCGAGCTTTCTCTCCACATTTTGCCTCCAAAACAGGAAACACACTTTGTCTAGTGGGAAGAAGCCCTTCATTTACACGGTGGCCCTGCACTGCGCTGTCGCCTCCCCATGATGACAAGCAAACCCGCCACAGAAAAGGAGTCTGCTCCTCAGCCTGCATCGCATTCAAACAAACCCTCTGCGTCTGGGAGAGCACAAGCCCTCTCTCTTCCAGGCCAGACTGTGCCTGCGGTGGTGGGAGCCACCTCTGGCTACACGTATCATTCCGCTGCTACAAAAAAGAACACACACGGGCCACAGCTGACTCCCAGTCTCCGGCTGCCGTTCTGCTGTTACATTGTGACTAACTACAGGACACAGTCTTCCATAGGAGCCTCGTTCCCGGAGGCCAGGATGTTCAAAAGGCTCGCCTCCGCGGTCCCACACACAAGCCACTCGGGTTCACTTACATCGCTCACTGTCATTCTGGTCAGCAATGGCCTCCTCCAGGGCGACCAACTTTGGCTTTTTGTCCTGATTTCCTTTCAAGCTTTCCCACTCTGCAGGGCTGAACTTGCACGCCTCGGAGTCTTTGGTTGTTGGGTGGCCACCTTCTCTCTCTTTCATCTCCAACTCTGAGAAGCGCATCATTGCACGCTAGAAAGAGAACGAAGATGGAAACAAAAACAACACCTTACCATAAAAGCTATTTCATTTGCCTTACCTTAAAGGAAAGTATTTGCAAAGAAAAGTTTGCCCAAAACCAACCACAATTTATGATACAACTGAGATATTTTAAAATTTAACAGATAAAAATTTAAGAGGATCTATATGTAAGTAGTCACACATTCTTTATTCATAAAGCCATATGTATAGATACGTATGCGCTGTGTATGCATAGCCATACATACACTCTTGCATAGAGACAGACATTCTCTCTTGAAGGTAAATAAAACAGAACGAACACAACGCAAAGAAAACAAAACAAAAACACAACAGAAAAGAAAAAGTGCACAATGAATAAAGACGACCATGGCCCACAAACTTCCCTTGGTATTTGGAAATGAAATTTAACTCAAAAGGTTTATGGAAGATTCTAGTAATAAAAATTTGAAGAACTGACCTCACAGTAAGCAGCGGGTAGACATAAAATACTGTCCTCTTGTAATCCTTCCATCTATGTAATTAAATGGATGAAGTTATCTAAATGATCCATTGAGTGCCCATTTTAATTTGGCTTTATTTATCTTTTAATTAAAAGTAAAATATCTTAAGGAAATTCCTATACAACATCTATCATTCACTAGCAAGTTAAATACATACTCTATCCCTTTAAGCGAGCTTTTATTTTTTTTTTTTGGTGAAAAAACCTGCACGAATCCCACAGACATGCGGCTGCTACACACCTCCACCAAGTAGCGCGTCAGGCATCCTAAGTAGCACTCCTAGGCATATTCGTTAACGTACAGTCACGGCAGAGAAATTAAAGCAACTGATAGGTAAACGTCATGCAGTCTTTAGCCTTCACGCTCATTAACTTCCTTTATCAGCATCTGAGTGGCGTTTTTAAAATCTACAGAATAACTTAAAATAACCAGGCACACGAACCTCCTCAGTGCTCCCCCTCAGGTCCCCTTACTGGCCACCTTTCATACATTTAAATTACCATAAGCTTCATAACCACACCTGCCTTACCAGACCCCCCCCACCCCCATCCCTTTACACATTACAAAGCTGACAACTGGTCAAGTCACTGAGATTCGGGGGTGGGGCTCACCTGCAGGGCCCGCTGCTCCCGGCTCAGCTGACTGGAATCTGCGTACAGTTCGGTGGTGACACACTTGAATCTGTCACCCACGTAACCAGCGGAGTTGGCGATTCTCTTGGCCAGCTTCGACGGCTTCGGCTTCAGCACTTTGCCATCAGATTCTGCCTCGTCAGCTCCATCTTTGGTATAGGTGGGGGTGACGTCCACACTGGGTGGGGCACCGCCCACACAAAATGGTTTGGGGTCCTCTGGGGTTTTACCAAAAGTTACAGCAGGGCCATCGCTCCCGAGTGTCGGCTCCAGGAACGAGGCGGAGACCGGCACCCCCAGGCTCTCCTTGCTGGGGCCCGCTGGAGCGCCCTCCTTGCTTAAGCTGAAGACGGCCTGGCCCGCGGCCTGCTTGAAGGCATAAGCTTCGTGGAAGTCACTGATGCGCCCCAGCTCCTCTCTCAGGGCCATGAAGTCGCGGTGTGACTGCAGGGCCGGCTCAGCCGCGGGCTTGGCGGGCTCAGGGGTCTGGCTGATGCCGTCGGCGGTGAAGCCGGCTTTGGACATGTTCGTGTCAGGTTTAGTGTCTGACTCTTCCCGAAGGAGGTCCACATAGACGAGCTTGTCGCTCTTGATGACCGTTTTGCCTTGATTCCAGCCGGCGCTGGGCTTCAGGCTCTTGTCGGCTGGAACGTCTGGGTGTAACTTCGTGCTGCTCGCTTCCAGCAGATCGAAGCGGCTCCGGAGGGTGGGGTCCTCGTAGCGGCCTCTCTCGTGGGACCGGGACCTCCTCTCCGGCTTCTCCTCCTTCGCGATCTCTATGGGCGTGTGAGGTATCAACATGGGATGCACCATGCCCAACCCCAGCGCGTCCTGGTAGGTCACAAACTCCGGCCGGCCGGTGGGCAGCCCATAGGGCAGGCCGGGCTTGGGCGCCAGGTGCCCAGGAAAGAGACTGCCGTTGGGCAACAAGACCGGGTGAGGGTAGACCGGTCCCTTGCCGTGTAAGGAGAGGGGGCTGATGGCAATGCCCTCGGGCGCCGGGTAGGGGAGGTAGCTCCTGGGGTAGGGGATGGGTGGGGACCTGAACGCCTCGTTCGGAGAGAGGAAGATGGAGCTGGGCGGGAGGCCATTCTCGCTCGCTTTGAAGCTGGGGTCTGGGTTGCTGG